GTGTACCCGACGACCTGGCGAAACTCATTCGGAAATACCCAACAATATTTCCAGATGACCTGCCCGCCGGCCTGCCACCCAAACGCCCGCAAGACCACAAGATCCTACTCGAGCCCGGCGCGCAGCCAACCGTGCAGACACAGTGGCGGCTGACGCAACCTGAGCTGGAGGAACTACGGCGACAACTTGACTACCTGTTGGAGAAAGGCTTCGTTCGGCCCAGCACGTCTCCGTTCGCCGCTCCGATCCTGTTCACGCCAAAGAAGGACGGGGGTCTTCGCATGTGCATCGACTACAGGGCGCTGAATCGGGTTACAATTAAATCCCGATACCCGATACCACGCGCCGACGAACTCATCGACCAGCTTCGTGGAGCAAAATTCTTCTCGAAAATCGACTTGGGAGGAGGTTACCACCAGATTCGCGTCGACGAAGCAGATTGCTACAAGACCGCGTTTCGTACCCGGTACGGGAGTTACGAGTACACAGTCATGCCCTTCGGTCTGACAAACGCGCCCTCGACCTTCCAGCTGACCATGAACGAGATTTTTCGGCCGCTGTTGGACAAGTGCGTCATAGTGTACTTAGACGATATCCTCGTCTATTCCACCACCCGGGAGCAGCACTTAAAAGACCTCGATCAAGTCTTCACACTACTGCAGCAGAATCGCCTCATCACCAAGGGATCTAAGTGCGAGTTTTTAAAACCCGAACTGGAATTCCTCGGCCACATCATCTCAGTCGAAGGCGTTAAAATCGACCCCAAGAAGATCAGCACCATTCAAGAATGGAAGCCGCCGTCTAATTTGCGGGAACTCCATAGTTTTTTGGGGTTCGTGAATTACGTCCGCCGGTTCATTCCGAACATGGCGGGGGTAACTTCCCCGCTCACGGACCTGCTGAAGAAAGGCGCGGTTTTTGAATGGGGGGGAGAGCAGCAGGCTGCGTTCGACGCGCTCAAACTTTTCCTGACGACCCCGCCGGTTCTTCGGATAGCTGATCCACACCGTCCGTTCGAGCTCGTCACCGACGCTAGCGACATTGCTGTCGGCGCGGTACTGTTACAAGACTTCGGCAACGGACTCCAGCCCATCGCCTACGAATCCCGCAAGCTGAACCCGGCCGAGCGAAATTATCCGGTTCATGACAAGGAGTTACTGGCGATCGTCCACGCGTTCAAGATCTGGCGCTGCTATCTAACCGGGGCCGACGTAACAGTACGGACAGACCACAAGTCACTACAGTTCATTCGTGCACAACCCACGACAGACCCGTTGGCTCGACTACCTCGAGTCCAACTTTCACTACAGAGTCACCTACAAACGGGGGGCAAATAACATCGCCGACGCCCTGACCCGTCCATCCGCCCACACAGCCATTGTACTGATTACCCAGACCAACCCACTATTAACTGGCCTATTCACCCACGGCTACGACACTGATCCGTTTTTCACCACCAGCACCAACAGCCCACTCGTCACTAAGCAAGGGCCCTATTATCTAAAATCCGGTACCAATCGGATTTGGGTCCCTGCTTATCGGCTACTGCGGGAACTACTGATACAAGAAGCCCACGACTCAAACCTCTCGGGTCACTACGGGGTCGACAAAACTGCAAAAACTCTGGGTCGTCATTATTACTGGCCGGAGTTAACCCACGACGTGCAGCGTTATGTCACCTCGTGCGCCACGTGTCAGCTGATGAAGTCCTCCCGCCTCCGGCCAGCTGGATTGCTGCAACCGCTCGCGCCACCTACCAGACCCTGGCAACAAGTGACGATGGATTTCGTCACAGGATTACCGGCCAGCCCCAGTGGTAACGACGCGATTCTCGTTGTCGTCGATCGCCTGACCAAGATGGCTCACTTCGCCGCATGCAAGACGACGATTACGGCCGAAGACACTGCCAAATTATTCCTAACGACTGTCGTCCGCCTCCACGACATCCCATCGGCGATCATCAGCGACCGAGACCCGCGCTTCACGTCCAACTTCTGGACAAAAACGTGGGACCAGTACGGCACGCGCCTGCACCTATCGACGGCCTACCATCCTCAATCGGACGGCCAGACCGAGCGGACAAATCAGACAATGGAGCAGCTGATACGCACCACGAGCACCGACCCAACACAGTGGGAAGAATCTCTTCCCTTGATTGAGTTCGCGTATAATAATGCTCCTTCGGCGACGACCAACCAGTCACCGTTCTTCCTGAATTACGGGCTAGACCTTGTGACCCCGCTGTCGCCACCGATCGAAAATCCGGCGCCAAGGTCGCAGCGCTTCGTCGAGACTTTACGTAAGCATCAGCAAAACGCCGCCGACGCCATCAACAAAGCCAACCAGATCGCTAAGCGGAATGCTGACCGAAGACGACGGGATCTTCCCCTCGCACCAGGGCAATCAGTCCTGCTCGACACCAGAAATTTGGGGGTGCCCCTCCCAAATAAACTACGCCCAAGATTTTGCGGACCCTTCCGCATTATCCGCATGGTGACACCCGTCACCGCCCAGCTGCTACTCCCTGACGACTGGCGAGTACACGACTCCTTCCACGTCAGTCTCCTGCGACCGTTCGTCTCCAACACGAGCGATCTCGACCGTCAACGCCTGTATCCGACGGTTCGCCCGGTTCCTGAACCCACCACCGAACCGGATAAAATTCTGGCTCACAGGGTCCGGGGACAACGAGCTTCAGCAGCTGTCGATTTCCTGGTCCGATGGGTCGATCGCACAAGCGAAGACGACCTCTGGATCTCGGCCGATACTCTCGGCTCACACCCAGCAGTTCGGGACTATTTACGCCGACGACATGTCCCAGATGTGGGTAGTCTCATCTCGGGAGGGGGGGTGGTGTAAGGAAAATCCTTTTCCTTACTGAGCTCAACCACAGCGCGTACGCCCTCGGACTTCGGAAGGCTAGGCTCGGCCTACCTTTTCGGTCCCGAACCACTCTAGCGCAACCAAACCTAAACGCGGGGCTGTTCCGTGGCTTTCGGCACCCGAGTCGCCCCAACCTAGTTGCGAGGTTCTCGGCTAGCGTAGTTGTGCCTATAAAGTGCTGTAGCCTTTCATTTGTATTCGGACTCTTGAGTCACGCCCTGTTATTGAATTCCGCGCTACTACTCTGATTCGATTCATAACACGCTGCACCAGGTGTACCCCTCCACGGGCATTCTACACTTCTACCTGCAAACAGTTCGGGGGGCGTGTCACACTATGTTTTGCATAGTTTATACAACTATTTGTAGTTAGTGTTAGTGTAGTTATATATTTGCTTATTTGGTGGTGCACCTTTTATATGTACCTTGTCTGCTATAGTGAACACATCTCATTCTTACTTACCTTGGCCACAACTCACTCGACATACGTTGGCCTAGGCTCCTAAGCCTAGGCCCTAAACCTTACGTTGGATTTTTTACACTCAGCACCGACCCCGGGACGCGCGACATCCTGCTTCACTACACGATGTCAAACAACGTCCGCAAGCAGATCGGAAGAGCGCACTCAAAAAACGAAGTCTACGTTCTCGACTTCGATATTCCCGACTGTAGCGACGATTCACTTGAGCTTACCGATCTCGTCCCCCTGCGCTTCGAGCTCATTCATCATCGCGACTGGAGGCACCTAGACGGAAGACCGTGGGTGCTGCATCATCCACATCCGCGTGAGCTGGCGCTGCATGATCCCGATCCCGACAGCATCTGCAGAGACTGTCGCATGCCCACCTCCTCGACGAGCGTGATTGCCGGCTGTGGACTCGCAGAAGCAGAGCGAGAAGCACCGCCTGAGGAAGGACTATCTCAACTGGAGTTGGAGATAGCCACGCGGGCCGTCTTCGGAACGCCGGAACATCCCCTTCCCGGACTCGCATCACAACATCTGCGGGGCATGCTGTGCGGCGTTGGCGTCGACACCTTTGACGCAGACAGATCCCCACGACCCTACACAAATGAAAAGTTCATGGAGATCTACCCCCACTGGCGCGATCCCACGGCGAAACTCACCATCGCGGAAGAAGAATTGGCGCGTCGCGAAGCGGAAGAGCTTCGCCAACGGAGTCTTGCGGAATCACGCGGAACATTCGCCTCGAGCGGATGGGGCAAAGAGGAGAGTGCCTCCTATGAAGGGGGGTGGGGAAGCTCTGGCGGATGGGGCACAAGCAACACCGGCGGTTGGGGAGCAGCAACTGGCGAAAACACTGGCGGGTGGGGTGTTGCATCTCGCGGCGAGAGAAGCGGTTGGGGCACCTCTGGCGAGGGCTGGGGAGCTTTGTTAAGATACGAGCATAAGTGGTAGTTGAGATTTAAGGCGGGCCTAGGCTTAGTAGCCTAGGCCAAGAGGAAGACGAGGAGTTTGTGCCAAGGTGAGAGTCGAGAATGAGAAAAGGTGAGTGTTCACTGTAGCACTAGGGTACATATAGTAAACAGAGCATGCAAAGAAGGTGCACCACCAACAGTTTATAATAAATACACTAAACTACAGCTACAGGCAATTACATATAAATTCTAACACTCCCCCATAACTGCCTATAGCAGGAGTTTGTGCAGAACACAACCTGCAGGGGTACACAAGCAACAGCAACAGCAGGTACGGTAACAGAGCAGGTACAGCAACAAAGGGATAGGCGATAGCAAGAAATTCCTGCCACCCCCTTGTGGAAAATAGAACGAGAATGAATGAACTATGAGTGAAGTGAGTACAAATAGCAAAACCCTAATTGGGTTGTACCCCCTATGGTATACCCCACTGTAGCCTACACAACAGCATAAGCTACATATATTTTCTGACACACCCCCATAGGCAAAGTGGGGGAGAACAAGGGGTCACAAGACCAGTCAAGCAAAGCAAAGCAAAGCTCAGGGTGGATCACAAAGTCACCACACAGTCCGAGCACAAGAGCAAGGCCACAAGGCCAGTTCACATGCAGGAGTACACACATATATATATAAAGCTAGACAAGCAAGAGCAGGTATATATATGTGACAGTACAAGTAAAGTCAAGAGGAGAGCAAGTGAGGCAAGACAGGCACAAGACCCAGCTGGGTGCAGAAGCGCTGATGGTCACAAGGCGCGAGTGCCTTGGTGAACACATCAGCAGTGTTGGCCTCAGAGGCCACGTACGCAAGCCGCAACTGTCCACGCTGCTGTAGCTCACGAGCAAGGAAGTAGCGAAGAGCAATGTGCTTCGTTCTGTGCTCCAGACGCTGCTCTCGACACAAGGCCAGCATGGCCTTGTTGTCTACGTACAGCACTGGAGGAGAACGAGGCGGCTCTCCAAGGTCAGTCAGCAGGTAGGTGAGCCAGCGGAGCTCCTGTGCAGCCATGGCCCCTGCGTAGATCTCAGCCTCACAACTCGAGCTGAGAACCGAAGACGAGCGAGTAGCCCGCCACGAGACAGAGCCGGAGCCAAGGCTGAAGGTGTAACCCTGTGACGACCGCTGCGTAGCCTGGTCGTCAGCCCAAGAAGCGTCCACGTGACCTGTAAGTACCACTGGACTCCGCCCTCCAAGCACTAGCCCCATGCCCGACGTACTGCACAGGTAGCGCAATACCCTCTTCGCTGCAGCCATGTGCTCTGGTCGGTGTCTCCCAGGAGCAACATAGCGTGCGAGAATGCTAAGAGGGTATGCAAGGTCAGGTCGTGTGCAGGTCATCAGGTACATGAGGCAGCCAACAAGCTCTGGGTACGGGCCACTTGACTCTACGGACTCATCCGAAGGCAGAGCTGAGAGCGAGTGACGAGTAGACAGAAGAGTGGCCTGAGGCGAGGAGTACGTGAAGCCGAAGCGCTGAAGGACCTGCTGCACCATGTGTGACTGAGTCAAGGTAATGGTGCGGCGTGCTCTGTCCCGAGTAATCTGCAAGCCAAGGTAGCTGCGCAGTTCACCCAGGTCTGTGCACGTGTGTCTCTTCAGCAGCTCGGACTTCACGTAGGCGAGTCCAGCAGTGTCCGCTGTGGCAAAGACCAAGTCGTCGACGTACACGAGGATGTAGAACGGCGGCAGTGAAGTGTCGGTGCGCACAAACAGCGACGGGTCGGCAGTAGAAGGAGCAAACCCAAGGGCCGCAAGCGTAGTCCTCAGTGTGTCGTGCCACTCACGCGGTGCCTGGCGGAGACCGTAGACTGGCCGTCGGAGGCTCCACTGGGTGCCAGGAGGGAAAGTCCCAGTGAAGCCAGGTGGACGGCGCAACCAGATCTCCTCGTGCAGGCTCCCCTGCAAGAACGCAGTACTGAAGTCGAGAGAGTGAAGCTCGTAGTCGCGCTGAGCGGCTATGTGCAGCAGCACCCGAAGAGTGGTCATCTTCGGGGTGGGAGGAGAAGGTCTGAAAGTACTCAACTCCCTGCCGCTGACTGAAGCCACGAGCGACGTACCGCGCCTTGAAGACAGGTGGAGAGCCCGGCGGCCGCTTCACCCTGAAGATCCACATGCCACTGACGATGTTCGCCCCAGGAGGGGGAACCGTGTCAACGTAGGTGCCTGTGGACTTCCAGGAAGCCATCTCTGCATCCATAGCTGCCTGCCACTGAGAGGAGTAGGGACCCTTTATCGTCTCCGCGTAAGAGCGCGGAGTCGGGATGTCTAGTGCATCCGGGTCTCCCTCAGGAGCAAGCAGTACAGACGCGAGATGAGGTGAAGCAGCAGCCAGACACTGGAACTCCTCCTGCCTGTCCTCTTGGACGTCCGTGCCAAGAGCACACTCACCCCCGACGGACGGAGGACAGACAGACGCAGACTCAGCAACAAGACTAGCAGCGTAGTCTAGACGGCAGCGAGCAGCAAAGTCGACGAGCTCAGCGACAAGAGCAGACGCAGCAGCGGACTCAAAAGAGGGGTCAGTGACGACAGTAGCAAGCAGACGCGTGACAGTAGGACTGGCAGCACGAAGGGAGTCCGACTCTGGGTCGGTAAGCACAGGAAGGGAGGACTCAGGAGGAGAAGGCAAAAGGGCACGCAGAGGAGCAGTGGACGGACGCAGAGACATCCGGTGCGTGCCAGGGACAGGAGGAGGACGCGGACGCGAACCACGACCACTAGCGCGGGCAGCACGAACAGGCGACGCGGGACGAGACGCAGGCTCACGACGCTCAGCAAGACCTCCAGTAGGACCAGTGTAAGGAGAGGGAGCAGGCAGTGGGGAGGTAGGCTCCAACAGTGACTGCGACTGGACAGGCTGTGGACACTCTACCGGAGGAGAAAGACCAAGAACCTGCTGCAGAAGCGGAACGAAGTACGGCCGAGGCCGCGCGGCAGCTCCAGACTCAGCAGGGACAGCACCAGCACCCTCAGCGGCACCACCAGCGCCACCAACACCTCCAGCGGCAGGACCTCCAGCAGCACCAGCAGCAGAACCACCGGCAGGACAGACAGCAGCAGACTCGGCACCAACGCCCTCAGCAGCCCCAGCTCCAGTAGGACCCGCAGGCGTAGCACCTCCGGGACCGGCGGCACCAGTACCCTCGACGGTCGAAGAAGCTCCAGCTCCAGCAGTACGCCTCCAGCGGCGAGCAAACCACTCGCGCAGCTCCTGCGGAGAGAGGGGCTCCCGCCGAGGCGCAGCACCAGGAGAAACCCCAGGCTCAGCGGCTCCAGACGTAGCACCCCCAGGCTCAGCAGCTCCAGACTCAGCACCCCCAGGCTCAGCAGCTCCAGACTCAGCACCCCCAGGCTCAGCAGCTCCAGACTCAGCACCTCCAGGCTCAGCAGCTCCAGCTCCAGTAGGACCCGCAGGCCCAGCAGCTCCGGGACCGGCAGCACCAGCACCCTCAGCAGTCGAAGGAGCTCCAGCTCCAGCAGCACGCCTCCAGCGGCGAGCAAACCACTCGCGCAGCTCCTGTGGAGAGAGCGGCTCCCGCCGAGACGGAGCAACCAGAGAGCCCCCAGGTCCAGCAGTCGCAGGCTCCGCACCTCCAGGCTCAGCACCCCCAGGCTCAGCAGCTCCTGACGTAGCACCTCCCGGCTCAGCACCCTTAGCAGCAGCACCCCCAAGCTCAGCACCCCCCGGCCTCGCACCCCCAGGCTCAGCACCCCCAGCAGCAGCACCCCCAAGCTCAGCACCCGCAGGCGTAGCACCCCTAGACTCTGCACCCGCAGCAGGACCAGACTCAGCAGCAACCTCGACTGGCTCGACTGTGTCTACCTGGGACACACCTGAAGGGGCAGGAACCTGAGGGGGGAGGGGGTCTACGCGGGGGGGGGAGCTGACACCAGGAAGTCCGGTGGGGGGGGGAGGGAAGGAGTACGGTAGGGGAAAAGGCGGTAGAAGGGGACTGACTCGTCGAACGTGACGTCCTGGGAGGACAGAACACGACGAGAGGAGGGGTGGTAGAACTGCCACCCTGGAGCGTCAGGGGGGAAGCCAAGGAAGACACAGGGAGCAGTAGGGGGGACAGCTTGTCCGCAGACAAGTCGCGGACAAACGCCGAGATCCCCAGACACGGAACGCAGACGCATCGCCGACCTTCCCCGTCCACAGTAACACTGGGGACATCGCGGGCCGAGAGACCCCTGGGGTGAAGGTTGAGCTGATGCGCCGCGTAGCGAACCGCAAACGGCCACAGAAAATGGGGGGCAGCCCGCATGCATCATGGACGTACGAGCGACATCCATGACCATGCCAATGCGGCGCTCAGCAATCCCATTTTGCTGTGGAGAGTCCGGAAGCGTAAAGGTCTGGCGGATCCCCTGTGCACGACAGTAGTCTCGCAGAAGGCGAGAGGAGAACTCCCCACCTCGGTCAGAGTGCAGACGCAGAACAGGAAAGTCCGAGCCGAAGCTCCTCCTGAGCTGGAGACGAGCCTCGCGGATCTAGTCGATCAGCACCTCAGTGACAGCACCCTTGCTGCGCAAGGGGAAGACTGTGGTGTAACGTGAGTAGTCGTCAACCACCAACAGGAAGTAGCGCTCGTGACCCTGCCCACGGACGGGGGCCGGGCCCCACACGTCCATGTGAAGTGTCTGCAGAGGAGCCTCTGTCGGGGGGAAACTGGGAGGAGTGAGGAGCAGCCCTGAGGCGCCCCTCGACACAGGGGACACAGGAAGGTCCTGGTCCCGAAGGAAGGGGAGGGAGAGACTGGGGAAGACCAGAGACAAGGACACGGGAAGCCATGCCCCCGAAGACGGGGCAAGGAGGGGTGGGCCGAGACGGTGGTGCCACAGGAGAGTCTCGTGAGACAGGGAGGCGACACGAACAGGGGGCAGACTCAAGACCAGACCTGGACGCAGCAGCAAACACCTGACCTGACGCAGCTACCTGACCGGACGCAGGGACAGGAGGAGACTCAGTGGTCAGGGTGTAGAGGGCTCGACCCCGGCCGACGCGAGAACGTGGCCAGGTGCCGGCCTGTGCGTGCGTCCGTGCAGTGGGTCACCCGCTGACTCGCAGGAGTGAACTGGTGAACCCCCGCATCTGCAGGTCTGCACCACTCACTAAGTTCGTCGAGAACGAGGGGAGGTACAGGCCAGACAGGGTGCCCGAGGGGGCAGCCGGACACGGGAGGACAGTGGAAAAGTGAGCTAGGACAGGACCCCCAGAGGGGTCAGCCAGGGAGACTGCAACAGGCCGACCAAGCGGCGTGAGTGTGGTGCGGTCCCGAAAGAAGGAGCGAGAAGCCCCAGAGTCAAGTGTAAAGGTGAGGGAGGCCGAAGCCAACGCGTGGTACCTGAGAGCGCAGCCTCACCCGCACCTGAGGAAGCAGACTCACTAGCACCTAGAGCAGCAGCCGCACCTGTACCTGGAGCAGGAGACTCACTAGCACCCAGAGCAGCAGCAGCCTCACCACTAGCTAGAGCAGCAGGTCCTATACCTGGTCAGGCGGTACGCCCAGGTGACCGGCACGGTCAGCACTAGTAGGCAATGCATACATGGCAGTGAGAATAGCATCATAGTCAAGAGCAAATATATCTACCCTCTGCCTAAGCAACTCACCCAGTCGGGGAGCTCAGCCTCGTCGCCAAACACGGTACGCTAGGCGTCGCTCAGACGGGCGAAGCAGCGGGACGGTGTATGACTAAGTGTCCCACAAGGCTGACCAGTCCGAGCACCAGTGAGAATCACGTAAGAGCAGCGAACAGAACTGAGAGACCCTCTACTCTGAGCGTACCACTCACGAAGCTGCTGAGGCGTGAGAGACGCGCGGGGGGGTCGCGGGAGCTGCATCTGGCCGCCACCAGTAGTAGAAGCAGCAGGAGTGGCAGCAGAAGTAGCGCCACCACCCTACAGCCCCAACCAGCGTACCACTCACGCAGCTGCTGGGGCGTGAGGGACTCACGCAGACGTCGATGGGGCTGCATCTGGCTCCACCAGTAGAGGCATGAGCAGGAGTAGCAGCAGTAAGGCAGGCAGCCAGGCAAGCCAAAAAGGGAGGCAGGCAGGCAAGCAGGCGACGCGCAGCGTGCTAGCAGGGTAGGGGCTCACCAGTGGTGGGTAGAGTAGGCTCGGCGACTCAGCGGCTCGGCAGCACGGCGGCTCTGCGGCTCGGGCGACTCGGGCGGCTCGGCTGCAGAGCGGCTCGGCAGCAACTGCAGCTCGGCAGCTCGGCGACCCGGCGGCGCGGCTGTAGGGCGGCTCGGCTGCTGGGAGGCTCGGGTGTAGAGCGGCTCGGCTGCAGGGCGGCTCGGCTGCTGGGAGGCTCGAGTGTAGAGCGGCTAGGCGGCGAGGCGGCTCGGCTGCAGGGCGGCTCGAGACGAAGGAGGAGGAGAAGGAGGGGAGACCACACACCTGCCACCCCGCAAGCGGCCCCCTCAGGTCGCCTCGACAGGCGACGGGAAAAGGGGGGGGGGGGGGGGGGGGGGGGGGAGGCGGCTTGGGCGGCTCGGGCGGCTCAGGCGGCTCAGGCAGCTCGGGCAGTCAGCGGCACAGGCGGCTCGGGCGGCTCGGCTCCTCAGCTGCGCAGACGGCTCGGGCGGCTCAGGCTGCACGGCGGCTAACGGGCGGCGTGGGGGGGGCCGGGACGGCGGCGTGCAGCAGGGACGGGCGGCGCACGGGCGGTGTGAGGCCGGGACGGGTGAGGGGCCAGGACGGGCGGCGTCCTGGCGCCGAGGGGCCGAGACGGGCGCGCGCGGGTGGCTAGGGGCCGGGACGGGCGCGCGCGGGTGGCTAGGGGCCTGAACGGGCGGCGCGCGAGCGGCTAGGGGCCGGGACGGGCGGCGCGCGGGCGGCTAAGGGCCGGGACGGGCGGCGCGCGGGGCGGCTAGGGGCCTGAACAGGCGGCGCGCGAGCGGCTACGGGCCGGGACGTGCGGCGCGCGGGCGGCTAGGGGCCTGAACGGGCGGCGCGCGAGCGGCTAGGGCCGGGACGGGCGGCGCGCGGGCGGCTAGGGGCCTGAACGGGCGGCGCGCGAGCGGCTAGGGGCCGGGACGTGCGGCGCGCGGGCGGCTAGGGGCCTGAACGGGCGGCGCGCGAGCGGCTAGGGGCCGGAACGGGCGGCGCGCGGGCGGCTAAGGGCCGGAACGGGCGCGCGCGGGCAGCTAGGGGGCCGCAGGGCAGGCCGAAAGAGTGAGAGCGAGGGCCCGGAGCGCGCTACTGGCAGAAAAAAAAGGTTTAAAAAGTGGTGGGCCCTAAGCACAGTTCCCACGGGGGAACCTGCTCGATACCATGTGGAAAATAGAACGAGAATGAATGAACTATGAGTGAAGTGAGTACAAATAGCAAAACCCTAATTGGGTTGTACCCCCTATGGTATACCCCACTGTAGCCTACACAACAGCATAAGCTACATATATGTTCTGACACCCCTTACTCTCTTCCCCCCCCAACCACAGGAGGGGCAGCAGGGAGAGTGAGGAGGCGGGCTGGCTCTGGCTGGTCACCCCCTCCATCTCCTCACCCTCCCCCTCCCCCTCCCCCTCCCCCCCACACTGCTGCAGGAGCAGCAGAGGGGGGAAGAGAGGAGAGGTGGAGGGACGGCTGCTGGTTGGTCTCACACCCGCCACCCCAGTGCCACTCCCCCGGCTCCCCCACACCCTCACACCCTCCCCCAGCGGCAGCTGCAGCAGTGGGAAAGAAAGGAGGAGGAGGGGAAGGGAAGTACACCACCCATCACCCCAACACCCGCCACCCCCAATACCCTCCCCCCCATGGATGCAGGGAGACGAAGGAGGAGGGGGTGGGCGGGGGAGAAGCCGCAGAGCGGCTACAGAGGATCGGCGCGGGTAGATCAGGGGCGGCTGCAGTGAGTGCAGGCACGGGGTGAGGCAGAGGCGGCTGCACCGAGTGCAGGAGCAGGGGCAGCTGCTCCAAGGGTAGGCGCCTGGTGGTGCAGGGGCGGCTGCAGCAAGTGCACGCGCGGGTGAGGCAGGGGCACCGCCGAGTGGTGCAGGGGCGGCTGCAGCGAGTGCAGGCGCGGGTGAGGTAGGGGCACCGCCGAGTGCGCCAGGGGCGGGTACGTGGCAGCTCAGGACACCGTTGCAGGCGCCAGGGGCGGTTCCGCGGCGGCTCAGGGCACCGTGGCGCACACACGGGGCACGTGACGGGCAGTTTAGGGCACCGTCGCATGCCACGGGGCGCACGACGAGCAGGGCCGTCGTCGCGTGCCACGGGGCGCGCGACGACGGCAGGTTAGGGCACCGCGTGTGCCACGGGGCGCACGACGGGCGGGCAGGGCACCGTCGTGTGCCACGGGGCGCGCGACGGGCAGAGAAGATGTCACTCGCCACCCGGGGGCGGGACAGGACGAAAATCGCCACACGCCCGAGGCGCGCGACCGGAAAAACAACAGCGGAAGCAAGAGGCGGGCCCACAAGCCAAGACGTAACTCGCTCTAATGCCATGTTAAGATACGAGCATAAGTTGTAGTTGAGATTTAAGGCGGGCCTAGGCTTAGTAGCCTAGGCCAAGAGGAAGACGAGGAGTTTGTGCCAAGGTGAGAGTCGAGAATGAGAAAAGGTGAGTGTTCACTATAGCACTAGGGTACATATAGTAAACAGAGCATGCAAAGAAGGTGCACCACCAACAGTTTATAATAAATACACTAAACTACAGCTACAGGCAGTTACATATAAATTCTAACAAGCTTTCTGCGAGGACAAAAGGGGGGAAGAAGAAGTAGAAGAAGCTGAACCTGCTATTGTCACTCTTGGCCGCCTCCACGCCGCTCCGCACCTGCACTTCCTCCGCTTGACATCCAGCCGCAGCGCGACCCCTGGGACACCATCGACTGGGGCAACGAACCCACCACTCCACGGCGCACTATTTTCGGCCCTGCTCCCGAACCGCGCGAGCCAACATTTGTCCTTGGAACTATCCCTGGGACGAATATCCCTTACTCCGTCATTCGCGATAGAAAGATTGTTGCGCTGATGCTGACCACAGAAAATGACGATGAAAAAGAAGAAGAAGAAGCGGAACTTGCCCCAGTACATGATGAAGACCCTGAAGCAGCACGCGCGCGCTATATGCGCACCTCCGGATTCCGCGCCGACGATGCGCCCTGGCATCAGCGCTTCGGCCACCCCTCGCGCATCACGCTGAAGAACTGCATCGAAGCTGGCGTATTCGCACCTGGCGCACTCCTACGCCCTGATGGCACCGAAGTGAGAGGCGCAACACATCCGCCCACCTACCACCGTCTGCCCCGAGGCCGCGTTGAGCCACCAGCCTTTCCCCCTGCTCGAACCTGGAACCAACCGCTATACTAAGCTGGAAAAGGTGTACAGCGAATTCCTTAATGTGGGACATTGCGGAATTGACGATGAGCTGTATACACTCACCTTCGTCGACGCTGGAACGCGGTACGTGTGGGTTGTGAACGTGGAGGCACGCAACAGAACGTACGGGTATTTCGTCTCTGGCGGGCACGCACGCAGCGGCATCTGGGGAGAAACTGAAGATCTGGAAATCTGACGGCGCGGCGGAGTTTAGGAGCAAGGGGCTGCAGGATTATCTCGCACAGAAGGGGATCAAGCACCATATTTCCCTCCCCTATGCGCACCAATAGCAGGGTGTAGCTGAGCGCACGAATCGCACCCTCATGACGAAGGTGCTGGCGCCGATGAAGCAGTCGAAACTTCCGCGATCTACTGGACCTACGCGATGTACCAGACGCCTGCGGGTGCACAACCTCCTGTCAACCACCGCTATCACCGGCAACCTCTCCCCACA